AATACAGGTATACCTCGCCTTACGTCGGTAATTGGTTCCAGGAGAACGACTTAAGTCGAATTTACTTGTCTCCGAATCTACTTGCCACTAGGCTAAACCATAAATTACTAATACATGTTCTGTATTTTATTTATTAATGCATTTTTAATAATGTATGGTTAATAAGGATCTATTTTAAGCTTACAAACAAATAAATTTTAGTTTTTAATTAATTAATATAGTACAGAAAAAAGTAATTTAAATTTACGAATGCATGTACTGTAAATACAGTACATACTTGTAAATGTATATATTTTAATATGATTTTATGTGCTTTAAACGCTTTTCTAGTGATATTATGACTTTCAATATTTGTGGCTGATAGGCATAAAGTCGAATAAAATGACTTAAACTTGATTTTTATTTTTCCATATATTTTTTTGACAAACAACGTATAATCGGGAACGACGTAAGTCGAGTTATACATGTATTAATAAATTTTTGTCATTTAATTTAACTTAAGCATATTTAAACACAAATTCTTGAATGCCATTTATATTACATGAATGTCAATTAACATGCTTTCTATTAATTCAACTGTGGCACATACTATTTCCATTTTCAGTATCTTTCCTGCATGTGCATTGAAATGTGATTTAAATAGCAACGTCATTGATGATTTGCTATGTGACACAAGGCAATCTCAGTGCCATTAATTTCTAAATCGGTAGTCTTAATGTTGATTGGTTGGACCATCAACTTGCTTTAACGCAGGAAGTACAGGAAGGTGACCAGAGCTCTGCCAAATAGCCTTATTCAAAAACAGAGTTATTGTACTGCAACCAGAGCAAATATGGCACTCAAAATTTTGTTCATAAACAGGAGCGTTTGTAACCTGAAGTTTAATAATTTTTTCCAAATTCTTCTCTTAAAATACTAACATAAAACACTACATATGTAGAAGGATCCAAAAAGAAGCTTTTACATCAGACTTATGTCATTTGTAACACTCAAGGAAGAATAATATCAATATCAATGATGTAGACTGATCATTGCTGATTTAAATTTTTCAAAATATAATCAGATTTTCTATGAAAACATTAACCTTAAGATTTTTAAGGTAGAAAATTTGTACCCGAAACTATGAATGTTCATTATCTTCCCATTTTATATCCATGTCAAGTGCAGAATTTATGACTAAAAATGTACTAACCTTATACAATCCAATAAAGTGGATAGTATTACTTCTTATACTTGTAAAAATTTGATATAATTTTGTTTAATGTTTATAAAATTTAACTGAATAAAAAGACACAGAGCTAATAAGAACAGTTACTGTAAGTCCAAAAATGTCCATAATCTGGAATATCTCTGCTCCTGATGATGTCACATTAAAAATGCTCTGTATGTTATTTTCAAAATAATTTTAGTCAGCAAGTTTACTGTCACCAAACTATTGCTTACTTGGATTCCTTGGTCTATATCAGGGGTGTCCAACCTTTTTGTTTCTATGGGCCACATTGCAAGATGTCATGGAGTTTTGGGCCACAAGTATATTATATATACTTGTGGCCTAATCCTTAAATATACTTGTATGTTTCAGGATTAACTTGTCTAGATTATAGTAATAAGTATTAAATCTTTATCGGGAAAAAGGATATTTTAAAAAATTACTTCTACACACACTTTCAATTTTTAATTAGAAATATATAAATTCATTTATTAACAGGAGACAAACAAAAATTTATTTGAAAAACACAAATATTTGTTTTATTTGTGTTTTAACAAATAAAATAACAAATCACTAAAATAAAACAAAAATGACAAAACACCATTTTAAAGTGCATTTTTATTCGACTAATATACTTATAAATCATATGTAGCCGAAAAAGTAGCCAATGCGCCAAATGATATTTTTTACATTAAACTAAACAAAGGATAGACAACTTTGGCGCAAAGTAGCCAAATCATGCAACGCTCGAAGGAATATTAAATAAACTGGAGTTGGGACTCAAAAGATTATAGACCCAAATGCGGGGAAAGGAGAGAAAGGACAAAAGATAAAGAAGTGAGGAAAGTTGAAAATTTAAGGGTCCATATTTGCATAACAGAAAGTCTATTTAATCTTTCTCACTACTATTTATCTTTTGGCCTTTCTCTTCTTTCTCCCCCTGAATTTGGGTCTATAATTCTTTGAGTCTCAACTTTAGCTTTATTTAGTATTCCTTCCTCATTCACATATTTCCAAGTAATTGAAAATAGTTCCTTTCCACTCAAAAATAAAATATGTATAAAGGTTTACGGCTTTGTGAAACTTCTTTTTTTTGAATTTAAAATAAATAAATAAAATAAAATGAAAAACTGTCAGTTTTTTTACATGTTTATTGGGCCGCATTGGAACTTATCTTGGACTGCAGGTTGGACACCCCTAGTCTATATCTAATTATATAATGTATTGTAATATGCCATGTACAGTACAGTAAATTCCTGTATAATGGACTCCCCTATAATATAAAGAATTTTGTATGGACATTAGTCACAATTTTTTAAAATTTTGACATCCAGACATAAAGGCTTTCTTATCAACACATATTTCTAATGAGATGTACTGTACAGTACATATCAGTGATAGAACAAGTTTAAACTTGCATAAAATCATCTGATAATGCAAGTCTCATACAACATGATTTCCTATAATGCAGAACAGAACCCCCACGTAAGGGAGTCTCTACACACTAAACAAAATTCTATTATTTGGTGTAAAGACACCAGCATCCTTGGGAACTCAAATGATATACTATAAATTGAAACTAGATTAGCACTCAATAAGCTTCAGTCTTTAATATTTTAAAGTGATTTATATCTTGAAAACATTTTCAAATAGCTTATTACATTTTACCAGTATTATTTTACCAGTTATGTTTAGATAACCTCTTATAACATCAATCTATTTTCAAAAATAAGATGAATTGTTATTTGAAGGAAAAGTTGTCTTGAACATTACTGAAATTTAAAGCAAATCTCATCAGTTGTTAATTATTCAGAAAATAACTATTTTTTAGTATTTTTGTTTATTAAAAAAGCAAATTTCTATTAGTACTAATTCCAGGAACATGTAGAAAATGAAAAAATAACTTGTGTGAGGCTTTTTAATGAACTAGCTTTTCTTATTTGAAACTGGAGTAGATTATAAATATAAGAATAATTATTTTAACATACCACCATGATAGCAATTCTTCCACCAACATCACCAACAACATTGATTGGAGGTTTTTCTTTTGCAGTTAGAACTAAATGGAAAATTTAAATTAATATTTTAATAAATCATTGAATTTTTATATTTACCATAAACTCACCAGGCATAAGATCAAGTCCCACATCCATCGTTCTCGTGGCAGAAACTGCTGGAGGTGAATATCTCCCGTCAACCATATCTGATTCTGCTTCTTTTTGCTCTCCATGAATAACAGCTATACCTTTGTTAATAAAGACAAAAAGTTGTGTGTTTTGCAAACAAAATATTTTAATTTAATTGACTTACCTAATCGAAGTCTTTCTGCATAGGAAGTAGCCTTTTTAGCAGAACCTGCATCTCTTGCTACAATCACAGCATTTCTGTAATCAGGTATCTGTAACAATTTAAATCTGTTCCAATTTCATTACTTTCATTTAAATATATGCATTTCAAATTTTGTAACAAAAGTTTTAATTATGAAGATTTAATTAACTTACACATTCTTGAATGTATTGTAGCAGAAAAGGAGAAGCTCTTAAATTATCTACTGGCAAATCAAAAAATCCCTGCACTTCTTTTTGATGAAGATCCATAGTTATAATATGAGTAAATCCTATAATAATTGAAATATAATATAATGTTGGAATTTTTATACTTTAAAAATAAATTCTTAGATTTCATTAAATTACATTTGTGAAAAATATATTTTATATTAATCCAAAATACCTGCTTTTCCCATCATCTTTGCTAATAATTTGGAGACAATACAGCCTCTTTTCCTCATTTTACTTTGTTTACTGTAGGGTAAGTAAGGTATGACTCCAACAATTTTCCGAGCACTGGACGTCTTGCAGGCATAGGCAATAATCAGCAGTTCCATAATATTATTGTTGACATCTCTAAATAAAAATTTAGTATTAAATTTATAATTATCATAAAAATACAGTATATAATTTAATAAATTATTACTTTGTCCCTGTCTGAAGAATATAAACATCTCTTCCACGTACAGATTCACCAATATCTACTAAGGTTTCTGTAAACAAAAATTTTTTAAATATTTTTTATGCATTAATATTAACTAATTAAATTTGATATCAATTACCTGTATTTGCTGCATGAACAACTGAACAATTTCCAACACGGATACCAAGTCGGCTACAAATAGAAGAGAGAAAGTTATATAAAGCAAAACAAGACTCATTTTAGTATAATTTGAATTTAAAATAAATATATGGTGAAACCTCACATAACGAGTGACGAGGACAGGGAAAGTCCCAAATTTTGCGCATGCTCCATCAATCTGTGTTTAGCACTTGTTCCCTAACATCTTAGTGTCGCTTGTAATCACAAATTTTTCAAAACTTGTGTTCACACACATTACTTTTAAACATCAACAACCATAGCCCATTATATAATAAACATGCCAAACTGTTGGGATATGTAAAGGCTATAATTAATTAATTAAATTAATTAAATATTAGAAATTAATTAATTTGACTAGAGTAGGCAGTTATGTTGCCATCTCAAATTAAATATTAAAAATGTCCGAATTAAAAATTAACTATTTATAATTATTAAATATAATACAAGATGGAAGCATAAATGTCTACCTGTGTCAAATTAATTAATCTATACTAATATTATAAAGTTTGTAAGTTTGGATGTAGCAGGTAATCTCTGAAACTACTCATCCGATTTCAAAAATTCTTTCACCAATATTTAGAATGGAACTTCAGGGTGGACATAGGCTGTATATTATTTCTTAAACATTCATATAAATTAAAAGATATCATCTAAGATTAAGACTTTTATGCCCCACAGATAGTGCTAACTCCACGAGTACAATGACCTAAGTTTGCTTTTCTGTGAGGATGAATTAAAGTAGATCATCTTCTATATATCTATATAAATAAAAATGTAATGTTTGTTTGTTCCTACCAATTTCTTTGAAACTTTGACACAACGTTGCATTCAAATATGCACTTGTTTTTATATAATATACCTGTCAAAATTCCCCCCACTGGGGTGGAGGACAGGATTAAGACTTACCGTGAAGAACTCTGCTTCTATTTATACTATTGTAAATGTGGTTTTTTGCGTTTTTGATTGCATTTTAATAGGGTATGTCAAGAGAATGTACACTAAGAAGGGATTTTTCGATATTCCCCCCCACGGGGGAAGTGTTATACATTTATAAGAGATACATTTTGAGCCACAACAACGCGTGGTGGGGTCTGCTAGTTTCTATTATTTAATTATAGCCTTTACATAGCCCAAGAATTTGGCATATCATTTGGAGTGTTTATCAAACATATTATCTGTGATTATTTTTGTTTTCTGCAAATCAAATTCTCATTCCAGGTTGGTTCATTCTGCGCTAGAAGAAAAGGTGATGATGATTCACACTTCTTAACAATGCACATTGTACAATTTTCTTTGAATAAACATTATACATAAAATATTTGAGTATTTTTTCCAGCGTGGAACGTATTATCATATTTTACATTAATTTCTATGGAAAAAATTGTTTTGCTTTATGAGTATGATTCTGGAACTAATTATGCTCATTAAGCGAGGTTCCACTGTATATGATTAGTTTTGAGTTAAGGTTAAAAAATATGTGAAAATCAAATTATAGCAAATAACATAGAATTTCAAAAAAAGATTTAAACTATATTAAAAAATTCATAATTGTTACAGTAAAAAAATAGGATTGAAAAATATATTTCATTTGTATAGTAACAATCTTAATAAAAATAGTATAGATAACACAAGGAAAATCTACATTTCACAATTGTAAGAGAAAAGGAATCTAATAATTTAAACTAGATTATTACAAAAAGATGTATAGGTAAGTTGGTAAAGAACATGATATTAATTAACAAAACTTCCAATACAGGTGGCACAGATGCAAATATGTAGTAGAGTCAAAAATAAACCAAACTTAATAGTAAAATTATTCATAAAAGACCATCTTCAAAATAAGTACTTTCTGCAATATACATTTCTGTCAGCATTTACACTATTCATTAGTCTTGCAGTCTATTCTGCATTACATTCTTGAGTGCAATCATCATATACTTTTCCTCCTTTTGGTGATTTAAATTTGCAACCATTCAGTCAAGTTTTCATTTTGATGAAGACGTGAAAGTACAGTAACATAGTCAAATGAATATCAATTGTGGAAGTAGAGATATCTGATGTTTAGCCAGATATTCACCAACCAGGAAGAGTGCAACGCACAAAGAAATTGTGATGCTTTTTGCTTGCCAGAGATGAGGTTGTTTTCATCTTACTGCATCTTGGGACAATACGTCAGTTTAGGGTCTATTTTCAGAAGCAAACTTGTAATGCATCAGATCTCTTACATCAAAAATCATAAACATTACCTTCAACCTGGATCTGTTCAGACAAAATTTTTTCTATATTGGTAAAGAGGCGGCATGTTTTCTCTGCAGGACATCCAAGAAACAAGATTTCATCACCAGTAATCACTCTGGGATATCTGAGTCAATCAATTTGACATTGATGAGTACACATTCTTCACATAGGTCAATTGAATGATTTCCTTATACAGAAATATCAAACAACCTTTCTTATAAGTTATATATTTCAGATTTAGATGGTAAGATTATCAAGAGAAGAAAGAGATTGTAAGAATTTACATATAGTTTGGTAATGGCTGATGAATAGAAGGAGTAAATTTAAATAGTAGAAATTTAGAAGCAAATTCTACAAATAGNTGTAGAAAAAGCCACAAATATTGCTAAGGCCGTATCTCTGCTGTACCGTGTCGTAATAGATGTTGAAGGTGGGAAATCCAGTGCTGTACACGAGGATGTTAGCAAGAGTGTACACCCCATTTTAAATATTTTTTACAATGACAATCTTTTACGCCCACTGCCGCCAACGCCACACTACTCTAAACGGACGCTCTACTATCCGCTGTTTTCTGTTAACGGAATGTCGCTAACATAAAATAAAGGGGACAAAATCGAGATCGTGGAAGAGTGTTCACTTAGACCGACTGCTCCGTTGTCGCGTGCTCTGTTAAGCAGACACTCGAACTCTACCCCCTTGCTAGATAATCTATATATATAATCGAGATGGCTTGATAATAATAATCTCAGAGCCCAAACGGTTATGAGTTGAAAGTTGAAATTTGGTACACCGTTAGGGTACGCGAAGAGAATGCACACTAAAAAGGGAGTTTTGAAAATTTCCTGTGAATCAAAATGTTTAAATGAACTGTAAGTAAATAAAGTTATCTTTAAATTTATACATTGATAAACCCATATGTGACCTTCAATTTACTTATCTAGAAGTAAATGTAAAAAATGATGTACAAAGTTAAATTTCCTAATCTTCCCCATATTACTACAAAATTAACAATATTTTGGCTCGCTTACTTCTTTTAAGAGTTACACATTAAGTGCTAATTTACTTCTTAATAATACCTTGTTATAAATTATTAAATGAAATTTTATGCAGAAAAATAAATATAACACTATACAATTTATGAATGAATAATTTGTATAATTACACTCTAAACATTTTATATTGCCTAATCTAAATAATTTATGTTTTAATTTCAAGAGATTGAAATATAAAACAAAGACCAATCTCAAATTTCTTTGACAATTAATACTTTATAAAATTTTAATGAGATGAACCTAATTATTAGTATTGTGTTTCTCATTTCTTTTACACTAATTTTTTTTGTATAAAACTTTCGTCAGTTCAAAAAATTTCATTATACTACTAATTAAATTAATTAATTGCAAAGAACTATCCAGTCATTTGCAAAATTTTTCTTTATATTAGAAATGAATGCATGTTTCATAGTAGAAAAAGTTAGAGTAAAAATGTAATCCTGTATAGTACTGAACACTAGAAATTTTCACACCTAAGTATCCAAGATAATTTGATTAATTCATGCCTTCAGGGCATTTCCTATCCAAAAAGCATACTATTTTTCCAACTTTTCAAAAATTGTGTTAATTTACATTTTTCTCCTATAATTTAAATAAAGATGAACTATTAGCAATAAGAATATTAAAACCAATTAATTATTATAGCATATATAAAATTAATAAAATGTTGACTTAGTGTGCAAGCATAGTTTATACAGGAGTTACATTCAGAAGGGCACACACAAATTAAAATTGTACAATGCAATATTAAAATTTAAAAGACTTGCCCTTAGTATGCAATAAACAATTTTTTCAATTTATGTCAAGTATAAGAACTAATTTATTGACATAACTAAAGTAAACTTAAGTAAAATGTGTAACAAAAACACAAATGTATTATGTGAGGAAATTTCTTTAAAATTCAACTGAAAGTTACTTTGTCATAGAAATATAAATGATACAAAAATGCCATTCAATTATTTTTTTCACTGCTAGTTAGTGATTAACTGCACATTGATTTTAATTTTAACACTTGCAATGAAACTCATTGTTTTAAAATCACTTAAAATCAAACCTTATAAATTGTGATCACATTTTGCATTTTTATTATTTTAATGTTCCCAACAATTACTGCATAATACAATATTACTACACCAGATTAAATCCAAATAACGTACCATTGAACCTATTACGGTGTGAGTCTCTTACTAAATCAACTGTTATAAACGTTTTTGAACTCACAAGTTCTTCAGGTAACATACAACTTCTGAACGAATGCGACTCGAATTGAATTGGAACACCAACTGGAACTCAATTGTGTGGATGTCAATAACGTCACTCGGGCATGCACTGTATTATCTGTAGTAGTTTAACATAAGTTCTTGTCCAAGAGTGCCTGCCAGGCCATAGATAGAGTGATTTCATCTTTATGGTTAATTGTTACATAAAACTCCTACCTTAAATCATTATACAATGGGATAGCTAAGAAAAAGAATATTTGCATCACATACCGAAGATGTGCTACAATATTTGACATTTTGTGGAATGGAAAAGACAACCCCAACAAAGAAAAACTCCCTGGGGTGTACACCATCCCAATCATGGACTGTAGATGTGACAGAAGCCTGGTCTACATAGGATCCACCAAGTGCTCCCTAGAAGTGAGGATCAAAGAACACACAGCGGTTATTCGGCATCAGAGGACCACCACAGCTCTTGCCACCTACGCCTCTGACCAGGAAG